TATTCATCCAACCTCCTTTACACATGGGGTTTTAATTATTCGTGGATAGTAATGCAGTGGAAGCGCCCCTTGGAGAAAAACTCGAACCAGCACAAACACACTTAAATTAAAACAATGTATTCTCCGAGACCCGTGGAAAGATAGCACCTGTGATTGGGGTGAATGAGACGCACTGTAAAATTTGACACTTCTATTCCCTCTAACACTACAGCCAAAAACAATAATGGTTCACCAACATATGCGCACCTCTTAACCTGACTTAAAACACTACACTGAGGTACAAAGGTTATACAAGATATCAAAATTAGGTAGAAAATATTAAATGCCTTATGAAACACTACTAAGGTAACAGTGCTTCTTACATAAGAATGAGGAGCTCATCTGAAATCAGTTCCTCGTTATCTCACATCCCTTAGTGACACATAAACATTAGAACACGATACATGTACTATCAAGCACTGGGGAAATGGCATGAAACATTAGGAAATTATTAACTCCACCAGGAATAGGCCTTAAGGGCACTCAACAAAATAATATCAGTCCCTGAGAACTGTGGTAAAGCGTAATAAGAAAGTATTAGCTACACATATGGATCAATCATCGCCTGTCTGGAATGACCCACAACTACTACAATCCCAACTGGCCAAATAACCCGAAGGGTGTAACTACTCGCCTGCCAACGAGGCCGGCATTTTACAAAAACCCCGAGAAAATCACTCATGACCCATCAGGCATGCGGGTGTTCCCTGGTTTTAATTTTGTCCGTATTTTCTCTAGAACTCATGAGTCATGAATGTTTTTCTCCACCAATACCCGTGAAACATTCTTCTTAACCTCACACATAGGTTCAGCATGCAACATATTTTCCTTAAGGCACTAACAAGCCCTTTGCAACTTTGGATATGATTTCTTACGTCTCACGTGTGAAAACTCAACCATGAGGAGCGTTGTCCTCACACCTGGACTAAAGGAAATTCTAAACACACCTTACATTATTTCCCGTAACATGCATCACACAAACTCAGCATACACCCATACTAAGAGAAGACAAAATGTTTCTCTAAGTACCCACTAGACTCCTGGTCTCAGTGTGTGACCGTTCATTCACTCAGATAGCCTCAGTTTACACTCAGTACATCCATGAAACAGAAGAGAGTGGGGGCCAGCCAGCCACTGAAACCTGTCCAGCTGAGGGGGGTTCTATTTTCCCGTTAATAAGAGGTTTTCAATAAACTGCATGAAGATATGTGGTATTGTGAACCAAGGTGGAGGAGATCTGGTGACGCCAAACGATCGTTAACCGGGGCGGACGATTGTCCCACGTAGTTAATTGTCCTCAGAGACAGCTGGCTCCTCTCCAACCCTCAAACTGCTCACTCAACCTCATGGGCTCAAGACAGCTCAAGACCCCGTGGGCTGGGCTCAGACCGAGTGTGCTCAGACCGACCGAGTGGGCTCTACAGAATCCCTGCAATAAACCGTCTGTTAGCTATTGTTAACTTCTTCTCCGCCCCATCTAAACCCTCTCTGAGATTGAATACAACTTACTTGTTAATACTGACGTCGTAACACAAAGGAGACCAGACCACGTGGTGGCTTTCCTGGACACTCAGGCGTCCTGTCTGTTAGAACGCTCCCGCGCCACTGACGCCTGGTTTGCCCCAAGGAGTGAGCTTGGACTTGGGACATATTTTTCGCACAACTTGGATCTAGATGTAGGATAGTTATTTAGTGGGTCCCTTATTTGTGACCTGACCTGACTAGTCACGTCGCCCCCTTCTCTTAAGCTCCTCTACTTGTGTGTTGGTTTGGGGATTAGTGGATGACATCATTATGACCTGACCTCATGTTTAATAAGGTCACCCTGTATATTTAAGCCTCTCTCTGTCCATGTAATTCAGTTGCCTTTGAAGATGTCTTGAATAAAGACAAAAGCTAAGGTGCTCCGTTGTTTCCCTTTTCCCTGTTTGATTTACCTTATCCACATTTTCATTGTGGATTGTGTAGCTACATGATATATGCATATATATCATATATATCCCGTGTGATTTTATCAAGATATATATATATATATATTTTTTTTTCGGGGATTAGCCCACCCAGGCACAGGTTACTGACCTACATCGGGGCCTAGGGGGCGAAAATGTAATAATAATAATAATAATAATAATAATAATGATAATAATAATAATAATAATAATAATAATAATGATAATAATAATAATAATAATAATAATAATTATAATAATAATAATAATAATAATAATAATAATAATAATAATAATAATAATAATAATAATAATAAAGAACCATAAAGAAATACAAAATGAAAAAAAACATCAAGTGAGAAACAATATATGTATGTTGTTGTCAAAGTAAGAGAAACAATTGAGACCCTGCAATTGTGTGTAAATGAGGCAAGTCAGATCAGCAACCTGGGACTTGGTCACAAATTTTGTGAAGCCATATGGTAGAGGAGTCTACCATTAGACAACACATTATGCTTCCAATATCTTCCCAGGCGGTAGTACATCCCTGTTTGGGAGCTGCCTATATACGTCAGTATACATTAAAATAAGTAAGGCACATATAAAATTGATATAACTTACACTATGTCCATATATGTAGATATATGCTGTAGAATATGGTAATGTGTCGTAATTTCATAGACGTGTGTATGTCACTGACAGGAGTCACAGCTGATGCAAAGGTCGGTGACTGGGTCAGTGTCCACGAAAATCCTGAGTACTGTACAGCAAACTGCTGCTCCCTGTCAGTGAACTCAAGGACTCTGGGGTTCACTGGGTACACTAGTGCATCCACACACCATACCTCAGAATGCTGAGACCATCTCTCGTGGTCGGAGGTGTGTCATCACTAAGGGGGTGCTGGGGTGTTGGTAACTGGGGGTTACTCACGCCATACGAAAGAATTTTGTTGACAGGATGTTGATTGAGGAGTAGTCACACCTTGTGACAGTGAACAAATCATGTACACTTCAGCTCACAGGATTGTTGCCATAATTCAGCAACTATCAATAACTCATTAATGGTTATTGATAAAAAGAAACTTGTCCACCTCTTTGGATGGCAAATTAAAAATCACTCAACGAATAACGCTTCACTACGGGATATTATAATACACTTTGGAAGAATATTACACGTCATGGTTTTCTCTTTTTTCTTCGACTAAAAACACTTATGACTTGTTCTGTAGAATGTATATGTATTATATAAACCGGAATTTTGTTATCCTTTCCCACTTTGCTGCCACCTATGAACTGATCGTTGTTTCTTGATATAACAGTAATATAACGCATATAACAATATCTTTGATTGTTATTTTATATATACGTACACATTTGGGTCCGTAGATCCGCTGCCACCTATGAACTGGTTTTTTTAATGGTTTATTCTACAATTAAGTTAATGTTAATGGAACAGTAATATAACAATAGTATAACGGGTTTTAGTAGCAAAACCCAGCAATCCTTTCTGTATTTATTAAGAAAATATATTACATACAGTTCCAAGTGTACTGTATATCTCCGTAACTTAATCACTGTAGCTATTAGTGTTAAATGAAGATGGAGGCTATATAAAATATTCCTTCTAAATACATCCTGCTTGTGTGAAAGGTTGAGTAAGAGTACTTGTAATTCCCGTCGAGGGAGACCGGTAATATATGTCGTTCCTCAAGGTAAATAATGAAGCCAATCTCCCCACGTTCTAGGTGGTGATGTTACTCGGGTGTCACATAATGGTGGTGGTGGTGGTGGTGAGCGCTGTACCCAAAGCTGTCCAGGAAGTGAGTGGGTCTATGGAGCAGGTGGGCGTGGATGTCGGTGTGATGATGAGTCAGGTTTTGGAACACCATCTCACTGGCTGTCACCTAGTGCTCGTCACAACTACACTGCATTTATACGTCTCCACCAGTGTAATAAGGTATATAAATTTTATGAGGCTCTGGTCTTGTATTAGTGCCTTCACTATCAACTATTAGTAACATAGGCCGAAAGAAGCCGTGCTTATACATAGGTAAATTATAATGCCTTAATATCATTATTCTGAGTATATACTTAACTTGCTTATCGATAGTCAGGTTTTACTGGAAGATCTCGTCATTAATGTGATTTGTGCTTTATTAAGATCATGTAAAAACGAAGCCGATTTTAGGGAACTTGCGTACATAATAATGCAGAACGAGAAGCGATTAAGCTACAATCAAATGTACAATTAGTTAAAACAACTATATGTGCCTACTTTATGGGGAAACAATATGAGACCGTGGACGATAAATTTTGGTCACACGTAAAATTTCGGAGCATATCAAGCCTCACCTGCACAGATAGTTTGTTTTAGCTACTGTACATCCCAGCCATAGTTCCACACGTTATTAAACAAATTTATTAGAATTTATCTGTGATACTGTTTGATTCGATAATAGATAAAACAGCTTATAAAACAAGACATTTTACTTAAAATTTTCCTCAGACACATGGGTGTGCGTGTAGAGGCTGGAGTGGCAGTGGAAGCTGGGTGGATGTTGTCCCAGGACCAGCTGACCCAGGACCACCTCCTGCAGGGGCTGTGGGGAGACATCAGAACCACCTGCCGGGCCCTCATCCTTGATCTCACTGCCAACAACAGTGCTGATTCCGTCATGAAGTAATGCTTAATAACGTAGAAGAAAAGAGTTTTACAATATATATATATATATATATATATATATATATATATATATATATATATATATATATATATATATATATATAAATGAGATTGCGTGATCTCCGGTATATGCTGAAGTAACCCACAAGGAAAGAAAGAGCTTTTGAAGTTTCCCAAGCCTTTCGTGAAATTCACATCTTCATAAGAGACATATATATATATATATATATATATATATATATATATATATAATCAAAGAAGCAGTGGACTAAGATGAGTCTTGATCACTTTTGGGAAAAGGAAAACAATGGAGCACCTTAGCTTTCGTCTTTATTCAAGACATCTTCAGAGGCAACTAAATTACATGGACCGACAGAGGCTTATGTACACAGGGTGACCTTATAAAACATCAGGCCAGGTCAAAACCATGACATCTACTAATCCATACACCACCACCACCGCAAACATTAGAGGAGCTTATAAGATAAGGTGACTCAAAAATGAAGGGGTTATTGAAAAAGAACCCAGATCTCATCAAACAGTTTTCTCAAATCAATCCCACTTTACCTTATAAGTGTGGAGTGATCAAAACACATAAGCTAAATAATCCATTACGTCCTATCGTGACTTCTATGGAGGAACTAGGGAACCGTGATCACAGAGAAATCAGGTTTAACCTAAATTGGAAAACGAAAAATAATGACAATATGGTAAGAGTCCCAGAATTTCGATCAGCAGATTATGAGGGGCTAAGAAGGTACCTAGGTGAGGTCGCCTGGGAACGGTCAGGAACAAAATATACCATACAGAAAAATTAGGTCAAATACAATGAGCCAAAGTGCATGACCAAAAAACTTAAAATGACGTGGGAATAAAGAAAAGAATTTATAAGAAATTAAAGGTAGGGGAGGAGCATCTCAGAGATAGGTATGAAAAACTATCTAGGATTCGCAAGAGAATCCAAGGCAAAGCCCAAGATTTTTTTTCCAGGTATATAGGACAAAGGTCAAGGACAAGGTGGGCTTTTAAAGTCAGAGAGAGGGGACGTGATCGATGATAGTGCAGAAATAAGCAGAGCATTAAACAGCTACTGCCTATCAGGTTTTACAGAAGAAATTCACAAGGAAACGCCAGGGGATGGAGCTGACATTTAGGGGAAAGGAAGAAGAGAAACTAAAGGATATCACTATAAAAAAAGAGGTTGTTCTTAAGAAGATAAATGAATTTAAAAAGATAAAATCCTCAGGGCCGGATGAAATTTTCCCTCGAGTCTACAAAGAGTGTAAAGAACAGACTAGCGGATCCCTTGTAATTTTATTTACAAAATCATTAGACACGGGAGATGCGCCAGTCTTGTGGAGAAGGGCAAATGTAGTACCCAAATTCAGAAAGGGAGACAGAGCATCAGCGTCAAATTACCCGCCGATTAGTTTGACGTCAGTAGTGGGGAAATTTCTTTAATCAATTGTAGCAAACAACATCTGATCGCATTTATAGAAAAACAAATTAATCTACGACTCTCAACATGGATTTACAAATGGAAATTTTTTTCTAACAAATCTCCTGATGTTTGTTAAGAAAGTCTGAGGTAGTAGATAATGACGAAAATTACGATGTTATTTACTTAAATTTTAGCAAAACTTTTGACAGAGTACCTCATCAGAGGCTTCTGAGAAAAGTTAAGGCTCATGGTACCGACAGGGAAAGTTTTAAATTGGATGAAATCATAACTCACAGATAGAACACAGAGGGTTAGCATAGATGGTTTCAAATCTGAATGGGGCTGTGTAACTAGTGGGGTTCCCCACGAGTCAGTACTAGGCTCACTCTTGTTAAATAATCTACATAAACGATCTAAATACTAGGATCAGCAGTGATATAAGCAAGTTTACGGATGACACCAAAATAAGGCGGCAGATTAATTCAGGGTATGATGCAAATGCACCACAGGAGGTAAATTCCAAGAGTGGCCAGATAAATGGCAAATGAAATTCAACACCAGCAAGTGCAGCGAACTTAGTATTGGAAGAACAAATACTGTCAATGTATATAGCCTTAACAACATCAACCTAGAGAAGTCGACTTGTAAAAGAGACTTAGGGGTACTTGTAAGCCCTGACCTTCGGCCTAGAAAACAGTGCACTAATGTTCGAAATAAGGCAGACAAAGTATTAGGTTTTATATCTAGAAGTGTAAGTAATAAGAGTGCGGAGGTCATATTGCAATTATATCTTGTGCTAGTCAAGCCGCACCTCGATTATGCGGTTCACTTCTGGTGCCCTTATTATAGAATGGATATCAATTCACTGCAGTCGGTGCAGCGAAGAATGACGAAAATGATTCCGGGACTCAGAAACCTTCCATATCAGAATAGGTTAAAGAAACTAAACTTGCATTCCCTAGAAAGACGAAGAGTGCGGGGAGATATGATAGAAGTATTCAGGTGGGTGAAAGGAATCAATAAAGGTGATTTAGATAAAGTTCTTATAATATCCGAGCAGGATAGGACTCGGAACAACGGATTCAAGTTGGATAAGTTTAGATTTAGGAGGGAGATAGGAAGGAACTGGTTTACAAATAGGGTGCTTGACGAGTGGAACAAGCTTAGCATCTTTGTAGTAAGTGCTGGAACGCTGGAAAGTTTCAAAGGGAGGCTGGATAGATTCATGGATGATAGAGAGTGGTTGTAACTCTCGACAGGAGCTGCCATGCACAGGCCCACCGGCCAATTGCAGACTCCTTATTTTCTTTTAATCTTATGTCGCCCGTTCTTATAATCTCTTCATATGTTTCCTGTGTGGTAGGTGTGTGGATTAGTGGATGTCATGTTTTTTGACCTGACCTCATGTTTAGTAAGATCACCCTGTGACCGGGGAACGCTAATCGCTAGACCACCAGGATACTAAAAGCAGTCCTAGACTCTGTTATATTTCACACAAAGCCTGTTCAACGAGCTTATGGTGCTAATGAAATATATATATACTGTATATATATATATATATATATATATATATATATATATATATATATATATATATATATATATATATATGCTGATAACCTAAGGAAAAAGAAAAGAAACACACTAGGATTCCAGTGTGAATTACACCGTGATTTGCATATATATATATATATATATATATATATATATATATATATATATATATATATTTATAGTTTTACCTCCAGTGTCAAATAAAATTAAAGTTATGGCTCAAAGAAATTTTTAGGTAATATTTAGCTTTTTTCATTCCAACTGCGATTATTTCTTATCATTTTACCAGTATACTAATTTAATTAGTGTTAATGTCTGTAATGCGCTTTTATAGCCGTGTAATTATTACACCCGCTGTTAAGAGCGGTGGAGTATGTAATATTTTGCAAAATATTATTCGTGGGAGTTTCAAAATTTAAATTAAACCATCACGATCTTAGTCGCTGCTATATTAATGGCCAAAGGAGACTTGCATCCTGCCAATATTAACAGCCATCTTCCTTAACCAGATGATTTGTAACTTCCACCTTCATATTCTTGTCATTGACAGTAAAGACAAATACTAATAATAGATTTAACCTTAATATATTTATAGTATCAGTGAAATAATTGGTTGAATAACCTCGAAAATAAAGCCCTTCGAACATGCCATTGCAAACTTAAGATCCTTTACAATCCAGAGATATGCATCTCTTGCAACTTTTATTTGTGTATTTATAATGCAGCACAAACTTAGAACATACCAATTACAAAATAATAAATAATAATAATAATAATTAACGGTTTATTGAAAGAGCTTGGCAGCCAAAAGGCTGAAAATATACAGTTACATATTTGGGGAATGGGTTACGAATTACAAATAATATAAAAGTAACATAAGTGACACAAATAAGACATGTAATAACTAGATGGGGAAAAGCTCAAACTACAGTTCATTTCAACATAGTGACAGTGCAAGGAGTAGTGTTTACTGGGAGTGAATACACTGATTTATTACAAGTTATTGATAATTTTTACAGGTTGGTAGAGGTGGCAGGACTCTGGCAGAGGTCAGGTACGGTGGTAGTTGTTGTGGGTAAGAGGGCAGGAGTGAAGGCCGTACTCCTCCACCATAGTCTCCGTAACACACTCCACGCTCTCTACCTGGCCCCCCATGACCTGACCTTCCACTCCCCACCACGTTCCAGTAACTCACGCCTCAGGAAGGTCCTCGAGAAGGAAGGTTAGAGGGTGTACAGGGGGTAATAGTTGTAATTAACATTTTCATGATCATAGAAACTTCTTTGGGAAAACTCATTTCGTACAAATGTAAATGATGAACACGATCCTTCGCCCCAAGATGTCTATTCTATTTACCCTAAAGAAAACCTCGACCTGATGCAGAGTTTTAAGAAAGCAGCGCCGAAGTTTGCCTCTTGACCAGTGCAGGGACTTTTAAAAGATATCTTTGGCTGATTGTTCTTTACTGGCTTTTACTTTTAGGTTTTTATTTACTCTTCCTACAGTCTATATTCACAGGCCAACTGGCCGTCAAACTGAATTACAATGACTCTCGCCTCGTAGGGTAACTGCACCCTAAGGTTTAGTCAAAGTTGACTGCTAATGGGTGTAAGGAATGAGACAGTGAGACTCGCACCTCACAGAGTGCGCCAAAACAAGTGAGCAGGTATTATATATGGTACTATGGTGGACAAAAATTCCTTCAACCTCCCTCTATTTCCCCCTCTGCCTCCCCCCCCCCTCATACGCACTACATAGTGCGCCATCTGTTGGACATTACAGCACTTCCCTCAGTTGCTTCGTTATTCGAACCACAGGTGATTCAGTCATATTGTGGCTGGATGAGGGAAGGAACTTTTGTCCACCATAGTACAGTATAACGTTTCGGATTTAACGGTAAAATAGTGTCCAAGGCATTGGTAGTTAAGATGAATTTAGAGAGTTTGCCAAAGGTTTTGTTAAATGACAACAAGGAGCGAATTGGTCTGCACTCTCATGAGTTCCCAACGTAGGTTATAGCCATATTTAATACTACGAAAGATATTTTTAGGGTGGTGGGGGGGGGGGGACAGAAGGACAACCAAATTATAAAAAAAAAATGTTTAATCCCTTTTGCTGCAATGACATGCTTAGATGTAAAGAATTGCGATGGATACTTCTGCGGTTACATTGATGCACATACACGTTCTTGCACACTTAAAATCACTTTGATTCAGTCATAAACATAAGGTCAGGTCATCTATTACGTGACTTAGACTTTTGTAAAGCGTTTGACAGAGTACCGCATCAGAGGCTTCTGAGAAAAGTTAAGGCTCATGTTATCGAGGGGAAAGTTTTAAATTGGATAAAATCATGGCTCACCGATAGAACACAGAGGGTCAGCGTAGATGGTGTTCAATCAGAGTGGGGCTGTGTAACCAGTGGGGTTCCCCAGGGGTCAGTACTGGGCCCACTCTTGTTCATAATCTACATAAACGATCTAGATACTGGGATCAGCAGTGACATAAGCAAGTTTGCAGATGACACCAAAATAGGGCTGCAGATTAATTCAGGGCAGGATGCAAATGCACTAGAGGAGGATTTAAATAAACTGCAGGAGTGGTCAGAAATGGCAAATGAAATTCAACGCAAGCAAGTGCACCGTACTTAATATTGGTACAGGGCTGAAGTTTGGTAGGGAAGTGCGGATAACCTAGAGGATGGTAATGCACTGTAAATAATTTTCCCTTCACTGGAATAAATCTTGTAACTCAGCCAGTACACACACACACACACACACACACACACACACACACACACATATATATATATATATATATATATATATATATATATATATATATATATATATATATATATATATATATATATATATATATATATATATATCTATATATATATATATATATATATATATATATATATATATATATATATATATATATATAACATAATTCTATATAAGAACATAAGAACATAAGAATGGAGGAAACTGCAGCGGGCCTATTATTCCATACTGGGCAGTCCCGTTTACACCCAACCCCTATTGCTCATATGACCATCCAACCTATGTTTGAAGCAATTCAGCGTATTCGAGTTAATGATGATATTTGTTAACTTGTTCCATTCATCCACTGCTCTATTTCCAAACCAGTGATTACCTATTTCACGCCAAAATCTAAATTTGTCTAATTTAAAACCATTGTTATGAGTTCGCTCCTGGTTGGATAATTTGAGTACCTTTGTAATGTCCCCTTTGTTTAGCCCTGCCTTCCACTTATACACCTCTATCAGGTCGCCCCTCGCTCTACGTCTTTCAAGGGAGTGCAAATTAAGATGCTTTAACCTGTCTCTATACTCAAGGTTCCTACTGCCCGGGATTAGTCTTGTCATTCTCCTCTGAATTCTTTCCAAGGATTCTCTATCCATTCTGTAATACCGTGACCAGAACTGAACTGCGTAATGCAGGTGTGGTCTCACAAGAGCAAGATACAGTTTTAGGATGACCTCGCAAGTCTTGTAACTAACACTCCTTTGTATGAACCCAAGTACTTTATTAGCCTTGTTACGAGCAAAAACACATTGTTTACTTGGCTCATCTTGGTTCATCTGGTATCTGGTTTCCCTGTTTACAACTCCTATACTGAGTACTTTACATTTGTCGACGTTGAATTTCATCTGCCATTTTTCAGACCATTCGAAAAATTTGTTTAGATCTTCCTGTAGTTTTGCCGAGTCCTCGTCAGATTTGATAACACGTCCTATTTTAGTGTCATCAGCAAATTTACTTATGTTGCTGTCTATGCCGATATCTATGTCGTTTATGTATATAATAAACAATAATGTCCAAGTACTGAGCCTTGGGGAACTCCACTTGTGACGTTGCTCCAATGGGACTTAGTGCCGTTAATGCTCACTCGCTGTTTCCTGTCCTGTAACCACGCCCTAATCCATTTAAGGATGTCACCTTTGATGCCATGAGCTTCTACCTTTCTAATTAGTCTTTCGTGGGGGACTCTGTCGAAGGCTTTACTAAAGTCGAGATATACCACATCATAATTGTGCCCCTCGTCCACCGATTCGAAAACTGATGAAAAGAATGTTAATAGATTAGTTAGGCAAGAACGTCCGCTTGTGAAGCCATGCTGGGAATCATTGATCAATCTGTGCTTCTCCAGGTGATTTCGAATAGAGTTTGAAATGATTGCTTCCAGTAATTTGCCTACTATTGATGTTAGAATGATTGGGCGGTGGTTAGAGGATAGTGATCTATCCCCCTTCTTGAAAATCGGTATTACATTTGCTATCCTCCAGGATTCTGGTACTACACCTGTTTTTAAGGACATGTTAAACAACTTTGCTAAGGGCATACTAAGCTCTTCCTTACATTCCTTTAATACTCTGGCAAATATCTCATCTGGACCAGGTGACTTATTAGGCTTTAATTTGTCTATTTGCTCACTAACATCGTTACTAGTCACAACTATCTCACTTAATTTGTTTTCTTCACTATCTCTGAATAGAGTCGGTGCCTCGGGTATCATGTTTAAATTTTCGGTGGTGAAAACTGTTGAAAAATATTTATTCAAATTATTGCTCATTTCTCCATCGTTATCAGTGAGCTCGCCGGAGTCTGACCGTATTGGTCCAATCTTTTCTCGTGTTTTAGTTTGATACATTTGGTAGAATCCTTTGGGGTTTGTCTTCGCCTCCCTTGCTATCCTTACCTCATTATTCCTCTTTGCTTTCCTTATCTCGGTTTTAACCCTACTCGCCAATACCCTATAATTGTCCCGGAGGTGAATTTCGCCACGATTTATCCTTCTACCTATAGCCTTCCTTTGGCCAATGATGTTCTTTAAATAATTATTTATACATTTAGGGTCATTGTTGTCTGATCTGAGTTTTTTGTTTGGTATGTTCTGCCTTTGTGCATTAAGTAACTCACTATTTAAATTGTCGTGGAACTCGGCAATCTCAGATCTCGTTATCAGGTCCGTGTCATCTGTCAGGTTCACGCCCAAGCGCGACACCCCCTCTCTCAGCTGCCTCTTTAAACTGTCAAAGTTTGCCCTACTGAAATCTGGTACTTTAGTGGAATTTTCCTTAGGTCTGCCCTGAAAATCTAACTGGAATCGAATTTCTTTGTGATCCCTGTTTGCAAGTTCGTTCCCTACCTCGACATTGCTAATGAGGTTTTCTCTGTTCGACAGAACTAAATCCAGTATATTATTACCCCGTGTGGGTTCGGTAAAAGATGCCACGTTGTACAGTACGTGCCAAATACATGATGCTATCCTGTACAGTGCTACGTGCTGGGAACATGCTGCCAGGCTGCATAATATGCGTAGCGTAGAAAATGCCACGGTGAACAATACGTTCCGGGGACATGATGCTATCCTGTACTGTACATGAAAGATAAGAGATGCCATGCTATATGGTACTAAAGATTGAAGTTTAAGGTAGGAGATCTAGGTTTGGTTAGAATTAAATATATCTTTGGAGACCGCACGCTACAGTAGCACCGTTTTCAAGGTGTTACATCAAATCCTCCAGCGTTATACAATTCAATATACTGTTGAGTTCCCTGCAGTCACTACCGAATATTAACCTTATTTATAGTACAAATGCCCAATCTCTCCATGGATAATTAAGGCGGTTACACATAATAAGAACTAACCTCCATGCTATCTTTATGTTATTCTTTAGAATAGGGTACTATGTTTTACGTGTTTTAACCCCACATTTTTCCTCTTCTTCAAAGCCCTGCCATAACGCAACAAAGCACAAGAAACCTAACCAACTGTTCTTGTAATAAGTTTTTAATTACGTTAGGTTGTACTAGGTTTTTCTAGTTCGTATGTGACCTTAAGATTAGCTCCCCAGCTTAAATTACCATAAAATTAAGTACCCTAACCTTAGGTAGCGTTAGGGCGATTCCTTGCAATATATCCAAGGCAATGTTCAAAGAAACGTGCTACGGGAGTCTATACGGTTGACGTGCAAAAGTTCCAAATTTCATAAATATCTTACGTAAGCCAATATTACCCAAAGAAACAGATCAAATTAATGTCACAGAAAAGGGTTAATGACTTCTGGGTAGGACAGTCATCTCTCACACGACACCAGATAAAACACGTTGGTCTTAGTGCTCTTCCTGGTGACACAAGCAATGAGTAAGTTATCCAATGTGGTTCAACAGTTGTGTCACCCTGTTGCACACTCCACCCTTTTAAGGTTTACTACGTGTCACAGGAATGAGTTCGTCTTTATCTGGGGGTAATGGAAACTGCTTACCCGTAACAGGTGCAGCACATCCATATCAAAGGCGA